CGAACTCCTGACCTTGAGCGATCCACCCGCCTCGGCCTCCCAGAGTGCTAGGATTACAGGCGTGAGCCACCGCACCCGGCCTCTTGTTTTTTTAATAAAAACATCCAGAACAACCCAAAGTTTCAATGGTGGGAAGGGTTAAATCAGTTAAATAAATATAATACAAATGACATTATTATGACATTATTTAAAACTAGGAATTATAAAAAGTTTGAAGATAGGAAAATGATTTTAAATGAACAACAAAGGCACAAATTTAACTGCAACTAAGTAATTTGATATGTGTAGAAAAAGTTATTACTCATGTAGATTAGAACTTAGTGAACAAAAAAACAGGTCCCTACTAACACTTACGGACTTACCACCACAGTTCATGATCTTTCTCACAGTAGTAGTTGAAAGAATTTGCTTGCTCCTTAGAAAATCTGCAATTTGCCCTCCAATAGGCACAATAATTGTCATCACTAAGTGTGGCACAGCAGACAGCATACCCACCTGATGAAAAACAAGAAGAGGGAGAAATATACGTGACCATAAATAATGTGGACAATTTAATGGCCTTGGTTTTCTGAATCCATCATCAACTCTTTGTGAACAAATGAAAGAAAAATACTGTCTCCAAATGACCACTTACTTTTTCCTAGAATAAGCAATAACTTCCAAAGAATAAATGAGAAAAGCTAAGTAAATTTACTTTGATCACTTTTTATCTTCTACAAGAAAGGGATACTTTTTTTTTGCTGTTATGACTCAGTAAATTTTGAGGTTATGAATCAACTATTCTAAATCTTACCATACAGTGATTTATATTTGTGTGTCCATTTTATATTCTTGAATGTGTTTGAACAAATGTATCATTAACAAGACAGGGAGAGGCAAAAGAGAGAGAGAGGAAAAATACATTTATTATACCTTGAAGAGTCTATATTTTAAAATTCATTTTTTTAATTCATAAGGTTAAAAATTGCCTATTTGGTTTTTAAGTATATATCTTATGATTTCTATAACACAGATTTAACTTCCATTGAGGAAGCATCCAGATAATGCAGACCAATTTTTCAATTTTAAAAATTTTCTATGTCAAATATCAATACTTGGTCACATTGTTATACAGTGGCATATAGTTTTGGAACTAATTTTATACTAAATAGCCCAATCTAAAACTTAACCAGCATCAATTAAACAAATATTTTTAACCATTCATTATATGTAAAGCACTGTTCTCTAGGCATTGTAGGGGCAGGAAATATGAATAAAATGCATTTAGATTATTATTATCACATACAGGGACTTAGCAAATTTTAAATGTAAACAAATAAGGAAGTTTCTTACTAAGTGTACTTTGAAGTACAGGTCCTGGCATATGATAAGTACTGGCTAAGTGTTTATTATTTATTTTTAAGTATGTCTTTCCAATTAGATTATTGAAGGTTTGAGACAGGAATTTGTTTTATTCTATAGTGGAATATAGTGTGGTATCACGATCAAGGGCTTGGTTTCTTGTAATAATTAGTTGAGATAGTGAATGATTCTAAGATAGCTTAAATGTTCAGGCTATTTAATTATCTCTTCCAGCCCAGACAAAAGTTTTTAATATTGGTATTAAATGAAGAAACTAAGACTCAGAAGGGTTAAGTAATTGCCAGAGCCACATTTTGAGCCAGTTCTACCTGAGTCCAAAGACTAAAGTCTTAACCTTTGTGCTTAGAACCACCATCATATGAGAACGAAAAATCAAGTAAAATCAGAGAACGTATGCAAATGTGCTTCATTTAGTACAAAGCTTGGCAGGTAGCAGGGGCTCAACAAATGTGAGCTAAAAAAAGATACCATGTTGGCCGGGCGCGGTGGCTCACGCCTGTAATCCT